AGGGGGGAGGAGTCAGCGGGAGGCTGTGTCCCCCCCCCACACACTCTAGACTGGCCAGGGGTTTCTTGTGGGGGGGGGGTTAGTGACAGCCAAGTCTTCCTTTTGCAGGCCGTTTGCTCTTGAGTGGGGCTGCCTTCCAGTAGACCAAGGCTACAAGGTGTCTTGAATGCATGGAGCTGCCTTATCCTGAACCAGACCCCCCCTCCTCCCCCGAGTCCATCAAAGTCAGTATTGTCTATTCCAGTCGGCAGTGGCTCTCCAGGCTCTCAGGCACAGAGGTCTTTCCCATCCCCTCCTGCCTGGTCCTTTTTAACTGGAGATGCCGGGGATTGAACCCAGGACCTCCTGCATGCCAAGCAGAGGCTCTTCCACTGAGCCACAGGCCCCTCTTTACAGCTCTCCGGGGTCTCCGGCAGAGAGGTCTTTCCCATCCCCTCCTGCCTGGTCCTTTTTAACTGGGGATGCCGGGGATTGAACCCGGGACCTTCTGCATGCCAAGCAGAGGCTCTGCCACTGAGCCATGGCCCCTCCCCCGTCTGCACTGTGCTTCTCACATGACCCAGGATCAAATCGTGTCACACTGCTGGTGGTGGCCCCAAGGGTAAGAGTTCACAGCCAAGGCGCTGGACCCCTAGAGTGTGATGCAGTGGTGCAGAATGTCTGTGGGTGACCACATGTGAATGGCCCGCAAAGTGGCCCGGGCAACGCAGCAGTTGCTGGCAACGCAAAGGACGCCCTGGGAACCCCATCCTTCTGCACCAGGCATGCTGCGCAGTGCTGCTGAGTCCCGGCCTCCACATACATAAAACAAGGTAATTGAAAATTGGGTCTCCAGCTCTTTGGGGAGTGGAACTCCAGTCGAAGGAGATGGCTATCAGGAGGCAGAGGGAGAGGGAGAGGAAAAGCCCCCTTTGTCCCTGGCGGTTGATTGTTGTTTTAATTTCATGTCAGGCCAGTGAGTGTAAATCGCCTTGACAGAGCTGCGCCAAGCGCAGGGATTTGTTGACTTTAAGCCTTGCGGAGAGGGGAGGTTATGTCAACACCTCTGCTGGGGCTGTCAGCTTAACAAGGCCAGGAAGTTTTTTATTTGTTGGGGAAAGAGGTGTTTTTCTGTTTTGACTTGGAGTTTCCTTTAATCCTCCGAGGCTTGTATCTTGATAACCTTCTTTGCAAGGTAATCGGGGAGGTCAGGAGGTCAGGCCGATCTGGGAAGGGGAAGGAGTCTTTCAGCAGCAGCCCTCCGAGTGAGTCGTAATCGACTCCAGCAGTGCAGCCCGAGCTCTTGGCAGAGGGAGCCTGGGCCTGCACACCACCACCCCCCCCCGCGCTTCCTCTGCTTATGATGGCAAGCACAGATTTCACATGGTACCCTTCTGCAAGATCTCAGCATTCTTTGCCTGGGTCTGGGGGGGCTGTGTCTCACACGCCATGCCCGTGACCTTTCCTTACCTCCAAGAAGCACGGTTTCGGTGTCTGTCGCCAGTGGGAGAGCGTGTGCCTTGGCATGCCGAAGGTCCCAGCTCAGTCCCCTGCGAGAAGTTCTCGGGTAGAAGGCGCTGGGCAAGCCAGTGCCAGGCAGGAGGGCCCCAAGGTCTAGGGCAGCTTCCTGCGTTTGCCTGGCCTGGTGCTACTCTCAGTCAGTGCTCCCTCTAAGCTGTGGAGAGTCTTGTGAGCAGAAATCCTACTTTGTGAGTTGCCCGCATTCAAGTTGTGAGCGAGCAGTTTGGCCGCTGCATAAATCAGTTTGCCCTGGAGCCCCATCCCTTCCTGAGCTAGGACAGAAATGTATGAGCTGGAGGCTAAAAAAGCTGTGAGCTAGCTCATGGTGACTCAGCTTAGTGGGAACACTGCTCTCAGTGGGCAGAGAGGTGCGCCGTCCAGTTTGGGTCGAGGCAGCTGCGAGCCAGAATCTCTGTGATCGACACACCGCAGCACAATGGCTGTACTCGTGCGTACAGGAAGCCACGCATCGTGCCGTTCCGGAGGATGCCTCGGGGCCTCCCACTGCACTTCCGGGCACTATTCAAGGCGCCCCTTTTTACCTCGAAGCCCCCGAACAGCCCGAGGCTGGGGTTCTTGCCTCAAGTGTGAGCCCGCCACTCCTTCCGAGCCTTCTCTGTGAACCCACCTCTGTCAGAAACGGGGCCGTCTCTGTGGCGGCTCCTTGCCTTGTCATCGCCCTCCCTGTGGCCATTGTTTGCCTGCTGCCGGCTGGGTGCCAGGTGCCCCACCGCTCCCTCCCTCCCCAGGCAGGCAGCTGAGTGTGCCTCTTGGCAGGGTGGGGGTGTCTGGGGTTAGGGAGCCCAGTCGTCTCCCTTGCCTGGCATTTCCTTGCACTTTTCTAAAGAACTGTGTTGGGATTCTTTTTGAGTAAGTCAGCAGAGTATTAAGAGACTGAGTCCATGGTGTGTTTTAAAATATAAGAGTTTACTATAAACCTAACATGGGGAAAAGGTACACAGGATATGAAAATAACAAAG